TGGAGCAGGCCCCAGCCAGACGGTTCTGCCCATTTCCTAGAGGGGGAAACTGAGGTCATCCCAAGAGAGGCAGCACTCAACGGGGGCCGAGCAGCTGCGGCCTTGCTGTGCGCGGGGGGCTGCTCGGGCTGCCATGGTGGGGCTGGGGCACCAGAGCTGGAGGAAAGAGGACCAGCCTGCTCCCCCTGCCCCTGCCAGCCTGTGCCCTGACCCGCCTGGGTCCCACCGGGCGTGGCTCTTCTCCCTCCCTTGTTAGGCTGGCACCATGTACCTCCCTTGCCTGATCCCTGATCCCCACGGCAGCCCTTTGAGTCCTGCACTTTGCTGACGCGGACCCCGAGGGGGTGGCCCGCCTCCCTACCCCGCCAGGCCCTTCACCACGGGGGCACCAGTGCTTCGGTTTCCCTGTGCCTCCCCAGCACTTCCGAAGCTGCTTCATCTCTCCCTTGGCCGTGGTGGGCACACTCTGCCTCAGGGCCGGGGGCCCCAGCTCACACGCAGCTCTTGAATCTTCCTGGAGTTTTGGCCGGCAGGCGACTGGACCCTGAGCAGCACTGTCCCCCTCAGCCTGGGTCTCTGGGTCAGAGGGCTTGGGAGGGGCAGGGCCTGCCTGATCCACCCCTCATCACCCTGCAGTGCTACACCTGTCACAAGCCCAGCAGCCTGTCCGGTTGTGTCACTGCCGCCACCTGCAACGCCAACGAAACCATGTGCAAGGCCACACTCTACTCCCTGGAGATGGGTTAGTGGGGCTGGGGGGGCAGGGCTGGGGTCCCAGGGGCAGGGCTGCCTCGACCCAGGCACTGCTGGCCAGCCCTGGCCCCCAGTGGGCAGCGAGCAGCCATCACCCTAGTCATTTCCAAAGGGCTTTGGGTCCAAGCAGCCGGGACTCTCCCCCTCCCCCTCCCCTCCCTTCCCTCCCATAACGGGGACATCTTCAGTCTTGCTTGGGAGTCACCGGGAGGGAGCTGCCCCGTCCAGCAAGGTGTCCTGTGCAAGTCGCCGGGCACCCGGCGCACAGTAGGCGCTCAGCCTGCAGCGGTGGGAGGAGAGGGGGCTGGGTCACGGAGGGGCTGAGACCGGTGTGGCGGCCCCAGAGTGGGCGCTGTGCGAGGTGGCCGGGCTGGGGCTTGGAGGCCATGGAGGACGTGGCCACAGGCCAACCTGACACTGGTACCCCTGTGCCCCCAGTGTACCCCTTCCCGGAGGACTCCACAGTGACCAAGTCTTGTGCCAGCAAGTGAGTGCCCTCGGACGTGGACGGCATTGGCTTGACCCAGCCCGTGTCCTGCTGCAACACTGACCTGTGTAACATGGATGGGGCGCCTGCGCTGGGCAGCCCCTAGGCCTGGCCTTCACCCTCCTGCTCATCCCCCTCTGGAGCCTTGGCTTCTAGAGCCCGGCCCTCCAGCCTCGAGCAGCCCCGCTCTGAGTGCCACTGAAGAATATGGGCCCTCACCTGCACCAGGTCTCCTTGAATCTCTTTTCTGTGGGGGAGGGGAGGGGGGAGCGCCCGCTTCATCTCCAGCTCCATCACCCAGTCGGCCTCTGCCCGGCCCCGCCACCCAGGCTCTCTCTGGAGCTGTCTCTCTCCTCGCCCGCATTGCCACACCGTCTGTCCATCTGCCCTCCGTCTCCCCTTGGTGTGTAAGTGAGGAAGGTCACTAGTCCTGGGACACCCACACAAACCAGGCAGGGCTCTGCCCTCCTGCCTCCAGGTCCTGGGAGCTCTGGGGGCCTGCCTGGGGTAGGGCAGGAAGCAGGCCCCCACGGGCAGGGGGAGCACCACGTCTGCCAGGACTGGGGCAGGGGTCCCTTCTCAGAGGAGGGGGCATTAAGGCCGAACTTGAATGACAAGAGAGATTGGCTGGGTCGAAGAAGGCAGGCCAGGCCAGGCCATGTGAACAGCAGGTCCAATGGGGCCAAGAGTGACCCTGGACCTGGGATTACTCCGTGAAGTGCTCGCTGCTCTCTGGCCTGGCCCCAGACAAGCCTGACCTGTGGTCGGGCCTGTGGTGACACAGCCTCTGTGTCATGCGGCAGAGGGTGTGGAGAAGGGGAGGCGGGCTCCTCTGGAGAGTCCACCTGGCCCCACCCTCACCAACCCCCACTCCCTGGTGCCCAGGGCCGCCAAGCTCCAATGCAGAAGGGACCTTCATTTCACCTTGGCCTTGGGCCAGCACCAAAGCCTCCAGACCACCTCCCAGAGGCCCACTGCCTGATGGGCCTCTTGAACTGCCCCCGACCCCCACCCCGCCACATACGTGGTCCTACACATGCTCAGCACAGGCTCAGGCACCTGGGGAAGGACAGACTGAGGACAAGCAAGACATGGGCCCCTAGCACCTGGGGCCCACCCTTTCCCCCTCCCCTCCCTGCTCTGAAAGCTTCTCCTAAGCTACTGGGCAAGGGGGCCCCCTGGGCTGGGAGGGGCGCGCGGCACCCAGCATCTCCTGCCAGGCTGAGGCGGGGCTGCAGAGCTGTCCTCTGGCACCACAGGGGTGCCGACAACCCTGCGTCTAGGGAGCCCCCTCTGTCAGCCCTCACCCCCTTCAGCCGTTCCCTGCTCCTGGATGGAGTCCAGCAGCAGCGGGACCTGGGGCGGGCCAGTCCTGGGGTGAGGACCCGTGGTTGGGCACCCGTGGGGGCACCCCACACCTGCGGAAGAAGAGGCCGGTGGCTTAGAAGGTCCCCTGTTCCTTGGGCCCCAGGGACTCCACACCTCTGCTTCCTGTGGGCAAGACTTGCAGTCTGAACAGGCTCCCAGAGGCCAGGGCCCCCGCAGGCCGCCTGCCTGCAGAGCTCCTTGGCAGACCCCCGGTGCAGAAAGGGCCCGGGATGCACAAGCACTGTCTCGGATGCCGTGTTTTGGGCTACGACTCAGAGTTTTGACCTTGTGAAGGGGGAGACACTGTCCTCAGGCCTGCTTTTCTCCTGTCTCCCATAAAAGTGGAGAGCGGGGGTCACTTGGCCTTGGAGCCTGGATTGAGACTCAAGAAACACACAGACCACCCTACCAACGTGGGAAGGCTGTGTTCCCCCCTGGATACCCGCCCCCCTGAGCACCCTCCCTGCCGTCCTCCACCTCCGAGGTCTTCCGGCCCCTTCAAAGCCAGGGCAAGGGCCCTTTCCAGGCGGTCTCCCCCTGTGGTACTCTGTGTCTCCTGTCCTGGAGCCCAGACCAGCCTGCTTTGTGTGTGGCACACCCACCCCGCCGCTGCTCCATGTCCACCTCCACTGTGACCTTCACCCGCGAGCTGACGGTCCTCGGCCTGGTTTACACACAGAAGAAGGGGGTCAGGATGTCTCATGAGCAGATCTGGCCACACAGGAGACCGGGGAGCCAGGAGCCAGTCCGTCTATCAGGCTCCAGGCCAGACGCTCCTTGGCTCCTCTCGCAACACCCTGGGTGCGTTCGTGGACTCAGCCCGGGGGAGGGGCAGTGCTGTCTGTGCCCACGCCTGCTGGGTGTTGCCCGATTGTTTGATTTGCAGTAACCACAGTCTCTCCCTTTGCAAACAACGCCCTCCCTTTGTTCCCTTGCATCCACCTCTCAGGCCACGAGGCCAGGTCACTTCTGTCCTTGCAACTGCCCTGGGGCCCTTGTCCTGTCATACAAACAGAAATCCAGTCTGGAGGAATGAGAGAGCCACCCCAAGGCCACGCACGGAGACAGCAGAAAAGGCGAGACAAAGCCTAGGCCTCCTGGTGCCAGCTGGAGCTCCTCCCAGTATGTCACCCTGTCTTGAGATTGGGGCGTGACTCCCTACCCAACAGCAGGGCCCAGCCACCCACCCTCCATACAGCATATACCCCTTCACCTACCACCTACCCCCACCTTCCCAACCAGCCAGCCCTCCATTCATACATTGTCCATCCGTTCATTCCTCTCTCCACCCACCCACTCTCTCAAACATCCATCCACTCAAGTCTTTTCAACCACTCATCCATCCGCCCATGTATCCTTTCATCCAGCCATCCATCCATGCATCCAGCCATCCACCCATCCACACAACCACTCACTGAGCCCTCAGAGGACAGAGAAACCAGAGAGGCTGGGATACCAGAAAGGACTCTGGATGACTGGGCCCTACAGACAGGAAATGAGAGATCCCACCAAGAGGAGGAGCACAGCAAGGCCATGGGCCTGGGGAAGTGCAGTGGGAGGGCCGGGCAGGCCAGGAGGCGGGGGGTGGGGGTGGGTAGAGCCCTGTTGTCTGGGGCCCAGAATCAGGAAACTCAGGCTTGGGCTAAAGCCATTTGTGGGGAAGGGGCTGGCAGTGAGGAGGGGGCCAGTCCAGGGTCCCACACTCATCAGCCTGAAAAGAGTGTGGTGGGCCCACACCACCCTCACACTCCCCCAGGCACTCACCTCCACACCTGGCATGACACCCCACCTCTGGGCCTCTGCTCTGGAGGGTCCCTGGGTCAGGTCTACACCAGGAGGGGATGTCTGGGTGTGGAGATTGGCCTTGGCCTCGTTAGGTTTCAAATAGACGTGAGTCCAGGCCAGGGCCCACCAGAGGGGCCTGCGCTTCCCGTGTGGCCCCACTGCACCGCAGACAGGCTGCAGGGAGGGGTGCCAGGCGGGCTCCAGCACCAAGGGGTCCTGTTCCCCAAGGCGTAGGAGTGCTGTGGCCACCCACACAGCCTCCCGCCAGTGCCTCCCACTTCTGTCCTGTGCCATCCGACTGACTCACATGCCACTCCCACCACCACCCAGAGTAGGAGCCTGAGCGCGGGGTATAAATCCCCATGGGAGGCCGGCAGAGGCCTCTCTCGCCTCCTGAGCACAAAGAATGGCCTCTCCCAGGGCCCTGCCACCGCTGCTGCTGCTCGCTGCGCTCTTGGGTGCACACTCTGGTGAGTGCGGCAGGGGTGGCTGCGGAGGGGTCCTCGCCTGGCCCACCTCCTCAGTGGTGAGGGGGTGTCCAAGGGCTTTGAGTGGAAGCCCTCCTTAGGCCCAGGGGGCTCACCTCCCTCACCCTAAAAGAGCCTCCTGGTCCTGAGCCTGGCTTCACCGGGGGCAGGGGTCACGGCCCGTTCTCCAGGCAGGAAAACTGAGGCTCGGGTAGAGAGATGCAGTGTTCAGGTCCGCCGCCCCCAGCCCCAGGCTTGAAGGGTCTCAGCGAGGCGAGCCCTGTCTCCCGGGGAGGGACAGGGGACGCCCTCCAAGCAGACCTGTGGGGATGCCCCAGGGGAGGGCCACCCCCATCTCTTCTCCAGCCTCCTTCCTGCCTCCAGGACTGGTCTCAAGGTCAGGTGATGAGGGTCTGCCCCTACCCTTCACCCAGGTGAGGCCTTCAGGTGCTTCACGTGCAAGCAGCCCACGTCCATTTCTTTGTGCAAGAACATCACTCGCTGCAAGCCAGAGCACACGGCCTGCAAGACCACGCTGGTGGCGGTGGAGTCAGGTGAGGCTGGGGGGTGTTGGGGGCGGGGGTCCAGCAGGCTGGCTCTGAAGGGCTGCCCAAGGGCTGCATCGGCCTCGGCTCTGGGCTCCCGTCCCAGGGCCACACCGCGGACCCCGACAGGGCACTGGGGGGCAAGGACTTCCCAGGCCTGCTGTTAGTTCAAGGGTCTCAAGGTGGCGTGGGAGGTGGTGGGAAGGTCAAGGTGAGGTGCATGGAGGCGGGGACGGCGCTGGGCAGTGGGGGGGCTGGCTCTGACCCCTGCCCGCCCTGGCAGAGTTCCCCTTCGGCCAGAGCCCTGTGGTGACCCGCTCCTGCTCCAGCTCCTGCACGGCCACTGACCCGGACAGCTTTGGGGTCAGACACCCTGTCTTCTGCTGCTTCCGTGATCTCTGCAATTCTGTGGGGGCCGCCAGGCTCAGTGCCGGGGCCCTGGCCACTCTGGGGGCCACACTCCTCAGCCACCTCCTTCCCTGAAGAGCCTGGCTCTGCCAGTGGCCACCACTGCTGGCACGCCTCCATGGCCCAAGCTCCCTGGGCCTCAGGTTACCCGTGGGACCCTAGGGGAGCTTCCCAGGTGGGCCTGGGTCTTCCCAAGTGCGTGGGAAAGGGTGTGAAGTGCTGCACCCACCAATCTCCACGGGCCTCGTCCCCTCCTCTGACAATGGGCCTGTTACACCCTCGGCCCTGGGGACAGCTGAGATTCCACGAGATTGTGTGCACGGAATACTAAGGCCGCCCAGCTCCCCCCAGGCCCCCAGGGCTGCTGAGAGGTTCCCAGGGGCCAGCCTGCCGGCCGGAGGAGCAGCAAGAGTGTCCTCGGGGGCTGAGCACCCCCAGGGCCCAGGGTCCTTGGGCCCCAGGAGAGCCCGCCTCAAGCTCCTGCTTCCCCCTCACATGGCTCCCAGCTGTCCCCGGGTGTGACCTGCTCCAGCCCCACTGTAGGCAGGTGGAGGCAGGAGCCTGAGTTACCCCAGGGGCGTCAATGCCCCTCTCCAGGCACAAGTTTCCATTGGGCTTTCTGGGCCGGGCATTTTCCAGATTCTGTGTATGGCCAAACCTCCAGACAGCCCCACTGGACCCTGCATTTGGAGGCAAGAAGCCAGGGCTACGGCCTCCCCTTGGGGTCTGAGCAAGCCCAAGTCACTCCGCCTCAGCTTCACCAGCAGAGCCACAGGGAGGGTGCCTTCAGGTCTCTGAGGCGGGAAGGGCAGATGGGAGAGGCTTGGCAGCCGCCCATCCCCCAGGAAGGCTGGTGGGCGGCCGGGGGCACCTGCAAGGCCTCCGCTCTGCTCAAGCGTGGCCAGCAGAGGGCGTGCGCCCCTCAGGCTCCTCCCAGGGGCAGCCAGGTCAGGGTCTCATACCCCAGACACCCAGAGATCGGCCACCAGGTCCTCTCCATCCCATCCTCTGCCCTGGCCCTCCCTGCCACCTGCCCAGGACTGAGACACCCCCCCATGGTCTGTCCTCCAAACATAGACTGAGAGCCTCCTGTCCTCCTGTCCCCCTGCCCCCTCAGCTGGGGTGCATCTCCCTGAAGTGGACAGAGAAGTCCCCATGCCCCGGGGAACAGCCACACTCAGCCCAGATGCCCTTGAACATCTTGAACCACACCCCCCTGGTCGCCTCCCACACACAGGGTGCCAAGCAGAGCAGACTACGGCCAGGCACCCCCAGCCGGGCTCCCCAGCCCCTGCCCTGCTCCAGAGTCCCAGCCAGCCACTCAGAACCACTGGCTGGACCTGCCTGGGCCTAGACCACCTGGGGGCACCATTTCCTGTCTGCAGTCCCATTTGTAAACTTGTCCCGGCTGACAATGCTCAACTCAGACAACTGCCATGACCCCCCCCAACCCCCCTGCCTCGTGGCCCACAGCACCTGTGCCAACGTCTCTTAAGTGAAGAGAAACAGACATCTGATGCGGATGCCACTGGCTCAGGGCAGGCGTGAGGCACAGCCTGTCAGGCCCCAAGGCCCTCAGACCTGGCGGGAGACGGAAAGGGCAGCAGACCACTGACCTGCCACGTGCTTCTCCACTCCCGCTGCCGCATCCCTGAGTGCCTGCTGCAAACACAGCTGCTTCCAACTGCTCTTTCTCAAGTCCGCCTGGGCCCTCCTGGGCAGAAGGTCAGGGCACAGACACCCCCCTCACTCACCTGCCCTGTGTCCTCTCAGGGGGCCCTGCAGAATATCCCTGTACTCCGCCCCCACCCATCCCCCCCACCCATGAAGGCCCACTGACCTGTGTCCCCACGTGCCTCCCCCGACTCTGCCTAGTGACCCCCCCAGGGGCCTGGGGGCCCAGACCCAGAATCTGGGGCACAACCTCACAAGCCCCTGTGGAGGACTGTGGATGAGGAGGGCCAGGGGCTGTAAGAGGCTTTGGGCAACTCCTTTCTGGCCTTGGTCCCATGCTCCATGGACCAGGGACGAGTCCTGCCCTGCCAGCCTGGCCCCAAAGTTCACATAACAATTTGGGCAACACCCCCCTCCACAGCTGTAAGTGGCCCGCCACTTCCCTGGCGGGGGTGGGCCTCAGAAATGAGGACTCCCCAGCACACTCACATTTAACACCCTTTAATCTTGGGCTTCCTTTAAATAAAATGGCAATATTGCAGCTTTCCCATGGCAGCTGTAAGGTGGACGACAGCGTGGGGATGGCGCGGGATCGGGGCGTGGCTGTGCTCTTGGCTCCAGCTGGCAATGGGGTTTCTGGAACGGGGCGGCAAGGAGGCAGTTCCAGGCCCCAGCTGCTCTGCCCTGTCCCGAGGGCCGGCGGGGGCAGCTGCAAGCAGGCACCCTGCCCTGGGCAGTCACACACATGGCAAGCAGCAATCCTACACCCAGGGACCTGACCTCAGGGTCCCCAGCCAGCCAGGGACCAAGGCCCGCCTCACTTTGCCCCTGGTGCTCCTGGAGGCTCCGGGCCAATGCCTGCTTCTCTCCAGGCCTCCCTTTCTGCAGCTGCAAGGCAAGGGACTGGGCAGGAGCGGGAGACCTCAGCCACCATTGCAGCAGGCTGGTGAACCCATCAGGGAGCCCCAAAAGCAGCTGCCAGGACCCAGCAGCCACGAAGACCTCTCTCCAGTCTCAGCCTATCAAGAGAGGCAGCTCTTAGAGCAGGAAAGAAAAAATCAATAGCGGGGCCAGATGTCAGGCAAGGACAGCCCCAGTGGGTGGACAGTCTGGGGTGCTGCAGGCCCAGATAAAGCAGGGCCCCGCCCAGCATCACAAGCACGGCCTTATGGGTGCTGAGGGGTGCAGAAGGGTGAAGGCACCCAGGCAGATGCCCACCTCCCAGCTCTCCTTAGCAGCAGGCCCCAATTAGGACACCCCCGGCTATGGGAGCTACCCACCTCCACAGGGGCCCCTGCGCCAGTGGACCTGCACTGGCCTCAGCACACTCTCTGGGGCCACAAGTCTCTGCTGCAGGCCCTCCCCCTCCCTCCCTCCCCTGCAGCTCCTGGCTGTCCCTGAGTCAGGTCTCGAGGCCCTGGCCTGGCCAGCCTCAGCTCTGCTGTGCCCCCAACAGCAGCTCAGACTCCAAGCTCCAGCAGGGCTCAGGGCAACTCGAGGTGGTCCCCTGCTCCAAGCACTCAGGCCCTTGGAAGCCTGGCTCACCTGCAGGGCGGGCCATCCCCCACCCCCCACAGGCTGCAGGCCAAGGGCCAGGGGCCCCCACTTTGCCCATCAGCACTGCCCTGAGGGCAGAGCTGGTCTGGGTGCCTCTGTCACCCCCATCCCATGCTCAGTGCAGGATGAGGCATAGAGGGGCATGGGTAATGGGGGCGGGGGAGGGCCCTGAGCATGTGAATGGGGCCCGGCTGGTTGCCAGGCTACTCCAGTTTGGAGAGAGCCTAGCCCAGCCAGCCCATTTTCCACTCTCTGCCGGCGGCAGGCGGGGAAGGATAGGCAGTTGCCCCCAGGCCAAGGCTGGTGGGCAGGGCAGGCCAGCTGCGGTGGTCACTCGTCCTTGACGACATCGCTGAGCCCACTCTCGGCCCGGAGCAGCTGGCTGCTGGCCTCATTGTAGGCAATCCAGTGCTGCAGGTCTTCCGGCAGCTCAGGGGGCTCCACCTGCAGGGGAGAGCAGGGTGAGACTCCCATAGGCCACCCGCTGCCCTGTGGATGAGCAGCATTGTGGGGAGGGGGACCCAGCCAGGTTGCTGCCCTCACACCTCTGCTCATGCTGTTCCCTCTGCCTGAATGCTGTTCCCCAGCCCCAAGGGGGTGTTCTCCTCCTCCCCTTCCAGGTATCCCCTTCCTGACACCCTCCCAGGCCCCTTGGTGCTTCCTCTCCCCCATCCTAGCTTTCGAGACACCACCCTGCCTTTGTTGGGCCTGTCTTCCCCAAGCCCACGCCCTCTGCACATCCCCAGGACCCGGGCAAAACCCTCTGAGGCCAGCAGCAGATGGCAGGAGACCCAGAGTGACCAGAGGCCTGTGGGAACAGAATCCAGAGTAGAGTGACTGCTGGGAGAGCCCTGGGCAGGGGCTTGTCTGAGCCCCTCTCGTTTTCAGTGCGCCAACGGGAGCTGGACTCCACCTCCCAGGTTGGCTCTGAGCCTGACCACCACCACTGCCCGCCCTCCTACTCAGCCACACCTGCCACTTCCCTGCCAACCCGGCCATTTTGTGATGGGGGCAGGTGAGAGACTGGGCCAGGTGGAGGGGTCTGAGGCCCTGAAGTGGGGCTTTGGGGGCTCTCAGGGAGGAAGGAGCGTCAGGGGGGCTGGGCAGAGGTGCACAGAGCCAGGTTACTGGGCGAGTCTGGGCAGAGCTGGGCCTGGCTCTTGGACGCATCCTCCTCCCAGCCCAGCTGTAACGACCAGAGCCAGACTCGGCTGCAGCCAAGCTCTCCCCACAAGGCCACACTGTCCATGTGGATCCCTGGGCACTGGACTCAGCCTGCCCCACACTAAATCCCAGGTCGCATCCGGGACCCTCCCGCCCCAAGGGCTCAGGCTGGGTGACTCCTGGCCATGCCCTGGCCCTCCTATCTGTGGCTGGGCATCGTCGGGGCATCCCTGCCATGCTGCGGTATGAACCCCCTCACTTCTCATGTGGACCTCACGCATCAGCCCACACCTGACCATGTGGCACCCTCCCCTGAGGGAAAGTGGTCTTGACTCCCTCTCCTCCATCTTTCGGTCACAGCACTCAGCTCATCAATTTAAGGCATCAATGGCCACCTGCTGGCCTCCGGACACATGCAGGGACACACAGAGCATCTCTGGGGGGTGTGGGGTGGGGAGAGACCCAGGCCCTATGGGGGTGTTCCTGACTCAACAGAGACAGAAAACCAGGGGGCTAAGCCTGTGGCCTGCTGTGCAGCCTCGGGCAGCTCCCATCGCCTCTCTGAGTCTCAGTTTCCCCCCTCTGATATAAAGGAAAGGCTGGCCTCTTAGATTAAGGTGAGGCTGTGTCCCTCTGCTCTGGTCCAGGGCCAGAGATGGCACTGCCCTGCCTGAGAGCACCTATGGGTCTGGGAGTCCCTAGCTCTGGCACGGAGGCTCCAGGCACGATTTTAGGAACCTGCTTGCGGCAGGAGCCTGCCCCAGCAGCCATCACCATGGCGGCATCCCCAGGGCCCGGCTGCCATGCAGCAGTAGCAGGCCATGCTGTACCAGGAGGAGCAGGGCCTGGGGAAAGGCCTTGAGCCTCAGGCAGATGCTGTGGCCTTCTTCTCTCCACCTGCAAAAGGCAGAAGGGCCTGCAACTCTCTGGGACTCAATCCCCACCCCACACCTAGGTGATGGTGACCCAGCCCCTTAGCTCTAAGCTAGGTGAAGGGAATCCCAGGTCCTTGAGAACTCCCAGAAACCTCCTCCACGGACAACCTCCCCCTCCTTCCTCCATCCTCCATTCAGAACCAAGGACCGGTGAGGCTGACTCCACACTCCGACTGAATCTGACTATGAAAAGTTGATCAGGGGACCTGGGAAGGTCCCAGTAAGAACAGCATCAGTGAAAAAGGCCCTGGGTCCAAAAGAAAGGGCTGGAGCAGTACTTAGCAGGGCAGAGGCACTTCAAGGAGGGGTAGGCACTGGGCCTTCCTAGGGCTGGGGGCAGGGATCAGGAGTCCTCCGGGTCCGGCGGAAGGAGTGAACTCGGGACGGGGGATGCTCACCCGGCGCTTGCACAGGTGCTGCACGACGCGCTCCGGGGAGGTGCCCAGCACGTGCTGGCGAGAACGCACCAGCGCGCACACGAAGCCGTCTCGTAGACTGATGAAGCGCGCCTCCAGGTAGAAGGCGCGGTCGTCCCAGCCCAGCAAGCGGGTGCGCACCTCGAACGGCTCGAGCAGGCGCAGCGAGCGGCGGTAGCGCGCGCACGAAGCGGCCAGCACG